AATGGTCTGATACTGCCAGTATGGGAAAATCATAGACACATACTATTTCAGTGAACTTGATTTAGGTTTAATTAAAATAAATTTATTTTTTGACAAGGACACAAGTTAAGAAAAGAAAAAGTAAGATTAAAAATAATATATATTATAATAAAGTTTTACTCAAATACAATAAATAAAATGTAAAAATTTGAAATATAATTAATACATTTTACCTTTTTGAATCCTTTGGTTGCATTGCCCATACTGGAGCCAGGGTGTATCTGAGACATTTGGTCAGCCATTTTAGAAACTTTTTTATCTTTCTATTCTTGAAGGATGACATAATCGTACTGGCATTGACTGTCCCACAAAAGATCTTGCTTTGTTGGGCAAGGTCTTTTGATGATTGAAATGATATATGGACAAAAATTTACCTGGGCATGCATTGACTGGTAGCAAGTACTTAAATATGTAAAAAAAAGAATACAAATGAACAAGGGGTGTGTGATGTTTCAGTTACATTAATCATGTATAGAGTATATTGGCTTTAGAACCAGATCTTTTGACAAGAGACATTTTACTAGTTGTTGCTTATCATAATTTTATTTGATTAACTTAATTTTAAAAAAAAATGTAATTAATGACTAGAGGCCGATTAGGTTTAGTGAAATACAAATAAAATAATAGGACTTTGCCTTTCAAATTCAATACACTAAAATAAAGTTACTTTTAAGCTTCAACCTAAAATATTGATAACAGTACTTCAAAACTTCATAAATGTAAATATAATATTACTTGCCCGTACCTGAAGATCTCTCATCATCCCATTCCACTCACCATTACACTTTTTTTTTGGTCAAACATTCTATCATTCACAATATACATTTATTCTTAAATCTTGAGCATTTTAGAAACACATACTTGATAAGCTAAAGTACAGCAAAAAGACTTTAAATTGTTATTGTCTTTCAGTAACATAAGGTCATAAGGTGCAAAACTTTTAACGAATTCGGCCTGGGTAGCGGATCTAAAAATTAATATAAATGAATAAGAAATTATGGGGATAGGTAAAATATAGAAAAACTAGGTTACCTTCTAAATATAACAGGTAAAAAAGAACTTTTCATATAGGGACTAACGTTCACAGACAATCCAGAGGAAGTACACAAAGAAACATGGAATAAAATCATGGAAAACATCAATCAAATAATAGAAAAGTTCTAACACTCAATAAATACTATAATTATACTTAGCAAATCTTTAAATACATTAATCATACCAAAGTTAGTCTTTGTAAGGAACATTTTGAACATACCTCTGACACGCTAAAAACTATTAACCAGAGAATAAAGAAGTTTATTTTCAAAAGCAAAATATGGAATATCAAACCCTCAACACTTATGCAGACTAAATTAGAAGGAGGAAATAATATTCAGGGAAAAGAGAATAAAATTAAAGCAATGATAATTAAGTACTTTGGACAGGCTATAAGAGACGATAAAGATTACACAGTACCGCATTATTAATAATGGATCAGACTGACACGTGTCTGATTGATTGATTGATTTGATATTTATATCGCTCTGGTATCCATGCCGTTTTAGCATGCCCACTGCGCTCTGGTCGTCCGAAATCTATTTAAACAAAAAAGTTTTTAATTGTTTCTTAAATTATTTTTTTATTATTTACAATTCCCCTCAAAGATTGAGACAAACTGTTCCATAATTTTTGCACTATCGCTTCAAAAGACCGCACTCCGAAAGACTTGTTTCTGTGTTCATCCATACTAGGAACACCCAGTAAGTACTGTGATGAAGACAAAACATTAGGCAGTGCTGGAAAAACTCAAATATCTGAGCATAGAAAAATTACTAGAAACATTATTTAGAGCAAAACAATAGAAACCTTATAGATTAAATTAAAAAATCAAGACCCCACTAAATTAAAACGAACTTTTACATAAGAGTTCAACCAACAAAAATTAAATAATACTATGCGATTATTCCACACCACACACCCACACCACACACCCCCCATAAAACAATAAAAACCTTATAGATTAAATTAAAAAATCAAGACCCCACTAAATTAAAACGAACTTTTACATAAGAGTTCAACCAACAAAAATTAAATAATACTATGCGATTATTCCACACCCCCCCCCCCCCCGCCCCGACACTAGTAAATATACCTTTTGTTGATAAATATTGATAATTATGTAAATATAAACTGTCACAGACTCTGGACAGTGTCTACGCTAAAAATGTCTTTTTTTTTCTTACAGAAAAGGGTGATGAAAGCCTTTGTCTTGTTAAATTAATATCTTCCTTGTCATTTCACACCATGCCACTTATCGTCAAAATCATTGCCACATTTCATTCCACGGGACAATGCACATTCCATCTTGAATAAAAAAATTCTTTAGCCGCATTTATACTGTCACAGTCGACATCACCAAATTTAAAAAAACAACAACAAAAAAAACATAATTAAAAAAAGTGTTCTCTTCATTTTTCATTTCACATTTTAAAAAAAACAGTGGATGGCAATATATTTAAATTTTATGGTTTAAATTTGTGAAAAAAGAGACGTTAAATTCTCTTTTTAAAAATAAACATATGTGTACCAATTAAACAAATCAATAGCGTTAGCAAATCTTGGGTACATTTATATAAGTATATCCATGAATATCAAAACCCAATCATTTTACACACTTGAAAATTAAATTTTGACAAATGAAGATGTGTTAATATTTTCTTTTTTTTTTTAAAAATGAAAATATATTTTAGCTTTGTCTTTGCAAACAGTAAAGAGGTGTCTATTTTTATGAGATTTTAACATTTTTTAGAAAAAAGTCAATCAAATCTGATACAGGCGTGAAAAAACAGTTGCGAGACTCTTCTTAGATAAAAGAATTATTTGTTTTACGATTTTCTGATAATGTATAATTTAAAAAAATAAAAGCAAACATGTTTTTTAATTTTGATGAAGATATCAATATGTATCGAATTCTGGTAATACAAAATATATTTATATCATATTATATGATAAGTCATATATATAGTTTTTGTTGTACATTTTTGATTAGGTTTAAAAAAAAAAATGAAATAAAAAAGATGTATTTCAAGGGCTTGAAAATGGTAAATCTAAAGTGTTTCTCTAGCGTCGTATTTGTCCCTCAATTAACTTCTTTAGTGACAAAAGTGAAATAATTAGTGATAATTTAGACTTGGTAATTTAAGGTCATGTTTAGAAGGGGAAAAATAGTTTAGGTGCGTGAAAGTGTGTAGGGTACGCTTATCATATATAGCAGATAAACACTTCTCAAAACTTAATGATGTTAGAAACGTAAATATCATTACATGTTAAAAGTTATAGCTTGGGATGAGTTATTGTATTAGCAGTTAGAAATTATGGCAAAAGACCTACCATTATTATCCCGATAAAATCGGATCATTTTGTCTAGTATAATAATAATAATTTAAATTACAAGTTCAGTTATTAATATATAATAGATCTACCAACTTTAGTCTTGGGTCAAAAGAATCGACGAAAATTACAGGAAAACAGATGATCTCTGATTAAGATTTTATCTTTGTTATTTGAAAATAACGGAGCTTTATCAAGTAGTTTTAAAATTTTAAATTATAATGCATTTCTTACCTAATCATTATTTTAGTCAGTTTGATTGTATTAGAGATTTGCTCTCTAAAACAATTGTTTGTGTTAGAATTTAACAATAGCGGTTAATTTTTATATATTTAAATATATTATAGTTGTCTGCTCTTTGCTCGATGGTGCTAAGTTACGGTAGATGACCTTCAATCCCTATTTTACTTAAAATTATAAAATAGGCATATTGTTTTATATCGTCGATTAAGCGTTTTCATTGTTTAAAATAAAAGGTTTATATTTTAAAAGAAAATTACAGAATTTTAATGTTATCAGAAATATTGTAAAATTTAAAGATTTATTGCGTTTTTTATATTTTTTTTACTGTGTGTAGTAAATGTGAATAGAATAAAGTTATCCATGTATAGTCCAGTCTAGTCTACTATCATAATCTAATATCAGCAAAATTAACACTTCAAGAATTTAAGCGTGACATTGAAGTTTTACTTGACATTGGTGATCCCAGTCACGCAGCATCTATCTCTTAAGAACTTATGTAAGAGCAAGACATCTAAAAGGTTGACAAACAGAGAAACACACAAATCTTACAGAGCCAAACATAAACAATAATAAATGATACAAACCACAGATAATGATGTTGCAGTTTATCTGGTGGATCTTCTAATGACATGGCGATAGAATGATGCCCTTAGTCTTGATTGTTTTATTTACATCAAACTACTTGTATGTCAGTTATGGATTCCATTTACATTATTTATAAAATGACATGTTTTTAAAAAGCCATTTAAAAAAGAACGAACATTTTTTAAATGATCACATGTTGCTGTTAAAGGATATGAGGCATGAGATGTTTAGTGGCAGCCTCTCTCAAATGATTCTAATCACATAGCAATTGAGGTAGCTGTTCATATGCAACCGTTTGGCCCTAGCTGCTGCTTTGTAAATTAGTTGTGAGGTAGAAACCCACCGTATAAATACCATGAGAGGGCGTCTGACGCTTCCCCTTGAGGGGAAGGTGAAAATTTAAGGACGTTAACATAACATCCAAACTCCTGGGAGAGTCGACTGCAGACGCTGTGTGAGTTTGGCAATTTACCTGCTTTAACCGTATGCAGTGTTTTTATAATATTATAAGGTTTATGCAAATGAAATCCAACCTGATGTATAGTATATTTTAGAAAAAAATTACAGAAACGGAGTTAAATTTACTCAAACTATAAGTGTCAAATATTTTTTTCAGGGATATTATCATGATTTATTAAAATAATTTTTTTTTTAAATTAAACGTTACAACTTTCAAATTGTACTCAATTTTTAACAATATTATTTGTCTAACAACACGTTTTGGTTTGCTCATACTCCTTTGTTCATTTCCGTTATTTGGCGTTGCCTACTGGAGAGAGAAATATAACTAACACACCCTACCTGTTTGGCTAGTTTCAGCTATTTGTCGACATGATACCATGCGATCCTAGGATTAAAAAAAACAAGTAAATATTTTGCTTTATATACATTTAAATAGATCTATGTGTTTCTAATTAAATGCATATATTCTCTCAAAATGCGTAGTTTGTCTTAGATTTAGTTAATGCTCAATAATTAAATTACCAACAAATGTATAACGATATCAAAACGCCTCTGGCTATTATCTGGTTCAAATAAGAGTGACTTAGAACTTTGAAAAGCGAAAAAAAAAAATATTATCAATAGTTTAAGCTAATTAAAATATTTATATTTGAATTAAAATGTCTAGCTTTAACTTTAAAAAAGTTGACAAATGGAATTATATTTTAAAAAACGTTTGACAACGAAAACAGGTAATTCCCGAAAGTGTGTGTTAAAATTGATTTTAATTCAATCAATTTGAAAATTATTTTTAAACAAGTTTGAACAGAACATTCCCAATCCATAAAAATGCAATTCACACGTGTTTTAGATTGTGTTAAAATATGCAGGTAATAAACATTTTACTACAAAATTTCAAATAAAGTGGTAAGTCGTTGATTAAACTGTGAATTTTAACAAAAGAAAAACACGATATCATTTTACAATGACTTTGTAGTTAATCTAAGGGAAAAGCTATCTGGAATGTTCAGGTTAAAATTTAGCACAGCAAAAATAATAATCACAGCTACTAGACAAATTACCATTGCAGGAGGATAATAAACCCTTGTCCAGATTAAGTCTGGGTATAGTTTTGCCCATATTACAAATAAAATTTAGATTAATAAAAATTATGAACACTTAGCCAATCGACGTTTGTATGTCCATAGGGTCACTTAATTTAAAGACATGTGCAAAAAATAGTCAGACATTGATGAAAGGAAAATTTAAAAATTGTGATATTAAAAGAAAATTCAGGCTCAGCAAAGACATGTCTACAGTTTACTCTAGACCAGGGGTTAACAAAATACGGGCCGGATCCGACACGCGAGACCAGGTTATCCGTTCCGCCTACGGTACTTCAACAAGCTTAATAAAACATATAGAACAAGAGACGTTGTTGTACATTTTAAATTTCAATATTATGTTTAGAATACTAGGAGATCTTTACAGGCGGACAGCCCCCCCCCCCTCCTGCTGGCTGCTATGCACCTTAATGTACCATTTTTAATTTTAAATTATTGTATAAAGGTTTTCTTGTTTATTACAGATTTCTTTACCCTTGAACGCTTAAAATCGCACAACATCGTTTTGAAATCGAAAAATACAGTATGTTAATAGCAAATAATAACATACAGTAAAGGAAATAATACAATAACTACTCGCATCGCAGTGTCCACTGGATCGAGTTAAGATGGCTTGAAAATTATAGGTACTCCAACTCACATTTTTTAATACATCTGACACACATAAGGAGCACATCATTGGAAAGAGCTGGCTTTAGCTTTGCAATGACACCAAGATCATCTTTTGCAATACAATGTTTAACAGAATAGAATACATGAATTGTGAATTAACTTATTATATTTTTAAAAATATGACTTTTGGCATTTGGCATAGATAACGATAATTGACGAAAAATTTAATTTAAAAAAAATTACATAATTATTAAAACAATAAAGCTATTCAGAAAAAAAATGTAATATTAGAAAGATTGTTTCAATAAAAGCAACCACGGCCGAGAAATTTTTACATTTAAAAACATAACTTTTAAACTAATAAAGCTACTGCAATAAAACTTTTAGTACAAATAGATAGTGACAATTTAAAAGTAATAAAATAGTCAAATATTAAAAAAGGCAATTTAAATAATGCTATCTAAAGTTAAAAAAATGTTATATAAGTTGTCGAAATTGATGTACATTTTTAAACATTCAGGATATGGTTCATGGCTTCCGAGCTCTGCCTACTCTTAATCCCCATTAATTGGTAAATTAAAAACATCTTTGTAAAAAAATTGTATTGTGTGTTGATCTCCTCCGGGTTGGCAGTCCATTTCCTCATTTCTGTAATCCTATTGAAGAAAACAATGAACAAATAAAAAAGATATTAGTTATTAGAAACATTAAAAAAAATCAATATTTCTAAAGAGGCTACACAATTTAAAAACATTTATGTACATTTAAATTTTTATAACATAGGACTAGAGGCTATCTTCATTTCTTTTCGTGTCACCTCACTCTGAAAAATAATTTAATATTATTATATTAAAATAATAATTATCATCTATGTATTATTGGAGCAAAGCCTACTCATGTATGAACTATATAAGTACTTAAGTAAAACTATTATTAAAATCCATTTTTTAAATTTTACGTACTATAGACAATCAAACTACTTTATTATAATACAGCAAATATTTATTTAACTGTTTGAAAAAACGCTTCTTATAATAATTAATAACCACTGTTTACGTTAGAGATTAACCTCTTCCGGTAAATCGAGTGGACAAAAATGGCCGCCGCCGGTTGTTTTTAACTTTGGTCACATTTCGGGTCAAATCCTTAATTCGTATTATAATCTTTATTGTTTTAAATTAGTGATTCACTTTATAAATGTATGATTCATGAAATTAAGTAGTTTCCAAGTGTTACCCCGAGTTTTTTTAAGTAACAAAACACAGCGAAATCACTTGTCCAAAGACCACTTTCGATTTAATCGTCCCATCGTGGTTGGATTTCCCTTTTTATTTATATCCTCGTAACCGTCATGCACCGCGGATTAAAATAAAAATAAGCAGGTTAATCTATTTTAAGAAATGATGCAAAGCAACGCTAAACCCCGGACACTACCGAAAACAGTCAGCGCCAGCTGATCACAGTGATAGGCCGCGTCTTCCAACTGTCCGCGAGGCGAGTATTGGATCACCTACCTGAGGTTTACTAAGAAAAGTAGATGACGAAGTTCATTATACAGTCTGAGTTTAATTTGTTTTGAAGAATTGTACTTGCTATTGATATTAATTTATATATTGAGTGTACGTATAGATAACATTATCATACTCTATCACTGGTAAAAATAAAGTTAGCCCTACTGGTGAAATTTAACATGGTTCAAACTCGCACTCAGATCAGCATAAAACAAGATGTATTTAAAAAAGAATTAACACATGTTGACATCATTTAAAAAACCAACCAATTAACTTGGGGTTGTTGTTTTTAGGAAAAGCTGGTTAAATTTTTAAAATAATAAAATCAATTTCCACTAAGCCTATTCCCGCTTATATATTATAGTCTGATAACTTCCACAAACTGTAAATGGGTGAAAGAAAGAGGAATGTTGGAAAAATAAGGGACATTAAAAATCGTAGTCACCGTGGTTGGAACTAACAGCCTTTCGACAAATTCAGTTGTGTGGAGAACAGAAGAGCTTAGAGACAACAAAGAGCTACAGATACGTAAGAAAGCTAGGAACTTGCTAAGGTGTTTTATGAAGCTGGATGAGTCTACTGATCTCTCACAACTTCTCGTGTTTATTTGTTGTGTCAATTTTGACTTTCAGATAACGGAAGAGAGATATCAGTTTGCAGCTTGCATGGAACAACTTATGTCTGTGAGCAAACATTTAAAAAAATAAAGTTTGTGAATTCATCACATGGAACATGAGGGATTTATGCACATTTGAAAACAATTCTTTTGATTAGATGCAGCATTTCCAAACCAAAAAATTATGATATATTGAAAGCCAAATGCCAGTTTCACAAATCTAGCTAACATATTTTGCTGCTTAGTTTGTGAGATTCAAATATGTGCGCACTTTATCTGATGAAACTATCTTTTTGCTAACGTCACCTTCTTAGATAACTTTTAAAGTAAATAAATAAGTTGGTTGTCTTTGAATTTTTGCATTGCACGCCACTCACCCATGATTAACATGGAATACTAAACTTAGTAATTCGTAATTTTCCCCAAGATCTTTTGTTCTGGCTTGCAATTATTGTACAGAATGATTATCCGGCACGCGCTCGTCACTTTTTCCGTTATCCGGCCCGCCGTGAAAAAAATTTGGTGACCCCCACTTGTTCTATATTCTTTTCATTGAAACAAATTATCCAGATCTTACCAAAAAAAACAACAAAAAAACAACCTGCTGTGCCGACGAACGATGCTTTGGCAGACTGAAACAAATAATATCATACTGTTTGTGGCTGTTATGTTCACACAATGACACAAATTTCATAACATTCTATTTTTAGAGAGTTTGTTGTAGACAACAATGTTCCTAAATAGATTCTTCCGGTATTTATTTTAATCAGAGCAAGCATTGGATCATCAAATGTCCTGCAGCACCACATGCTTCTACTCTGATCGATCCATGACATTGTTTTCCAATGCACGGACCCACATGTGATGTAAATATTATTAGAGGTCTTTCCCTTAATTTCTGTCTACTGTACTCTGGCATACTCTAGATCTACTAGATGTTAATTGTTCAGTGCAGATTACCTTTTAAAAAAGGTGTGAATATTGTTTGGTGCTCGTTCAAGAATTTCTCGATTAGTCAAAATTCTTACCCATCTTTCATGCACTGTTGCAAGTAGAAAGAAATGTAATCTCCTTTTTAAGGGTATGGCTCTTTCCCAAAACATTGCATAAAAAAAGGCCATAACAAATGATAAAAACAATAATAACAGAGAAATATGATACTCGAAACAGGGCAAACTAGAATTAATAAGTTTTATTAAGTTGATAATAAAGAACAAAATTAAAAAAGAAATATAATTAAAAGCTAATACCTTACAGTACCTTTATATTGTGTGGCTGGTACCAGTATTATGTCGAATAAAACATGATTTGCAAAAAGGTACAAATATAGAAAAGAAGTCTACTGTAAACAAAGAACTTACAGGTTCCAAAATAACTATCTCACGTTTTCTGCGTTTCTCTATCGATATCGTGCCACTTGCCTGTATTTAGTATATTCCATACAAGATTCGAGGTCACAATACGCAGCAAAAAGTTCTACGGGGATATAAAATTCGAGTAAATAAACATACGACAGATTGGTTAGTGGTAAAGAATAACAAAAGGAGTATGACACGCCTAATACTATCGCAGTCGTATTGGGGTCAGATTAAGAACGTTCACCAGTAAAGGAATAAATGAGAGTAAAATATAGGAAGCCTAAATAACACCATCATGGTAATTTATAGGCCTGTAAATAAATAAAACATTATTTTTTTCAATTATAAATTTAGTTTTTGGCTTCAGTGATGAAGGAATCATTAGTTAAATTAATTAAACATTATTTTATAAATTGTTATAAAGTTGTTTGATACGTGCCATCGAGCTTCAGACATGGTTGTTCAGAGTGCTGAGTAAAACCGCCTCGTCGCTAGACACGGGCTCTTGTCTTAATTTAGATAGAAGGAATTTTATTGATAATTGTTAGTCAAGAATTTAGTGGTCATTAGGTTAAAAGGGTTTCTTAAAAAAAAAAAACTATGACTTAAAAGTTATACATTTTGTTATCATACATTTGAGATGCATATAATGTTGATGAATTTAATTGTTCAATTTTTTTTAAATAGAGCGGGTAAAGTGGGAAGTGGTAGTTTGGGTTTTTGAAATATTTTGTTTGATCAACCCTATTATTAAAACTGGCTATATCAGTGCGGCGAATACATTTAAAATCATAGGTTGATACGTGCTATGTTAGAGGAAAGAAGAAAGTGAAACTAAAACTGATGGAGGCATAATTTTTCAAATAGACTTAAATATGCCCCAAAATGTTACTTGCTTTAATATCCCCTAAGCCCATCAGCATCCAAAAAAAGGTACCATTATCGTTGATTAACTAAATATTTGTACCCAAAAGATACTTTTGTAGTCCAGTTATAGCCCACACTTTTGCTAAGCATTCTAATTCTATAATGGCATATTTCTTTTCTGCATTAGTCAATTTTCTGCTAAGGTATAATACAGGTTTATTAATATAACTGTAGGATTGCCTTTTTTTTAGAAGAATCTGTTGCTACAGTTAATGGTTTGTCATTTGTGATAGGCTTTAAGATTTGCTCTGACTGAAATTGTAATTTTATTTGTTGTAAGGCTGTATAACATTCTTGTTTCTTTTTTTTTACTTCCCTCCCCCCCCCCCTTTTTTTTTTGTCAATTTAACTCGGGGATGTATAATCTGAGCAAAATTTGGTATAAACTGTCTGTAGAAATTGCACAGTCCTATCAATGATCATACTTGCTTCTTGATTGCTGATATTGCTAAATTAAATATTTTCTGATTGAGCTCCTCAGCAGTTTAATTTGACTAAATACAATTGTATATAAGCTAAAAAAAATAAATCTTTGTTCTACAATTTTTTATTTGTCAGTAAATATATATCGAGCACATTTTCTTTTAATATTGAAAATACTTCTTCTAGGGTTGTTTAATCAGGAGACCTGGTTTCGGCTGATTGGCGGTGAAGGAAATGCGCCGATCTCGCTCCGTCTGGCTATTCTGTCCGATTTTTTTCTCGGTCAATTCACAGTGGCGGCGTTGCTGTTCGCTATGAAGACAAGTTGTCGCTTCATCTAGCCTTTGTTACATACTTTCCATTTGATTCACAGATCTTTTGAAGTAGTCCAATTAACCTTGTTTGTGGCCCAAAAGAACGTTAAATTTATATGCATTCATTGCATCTTCCCTTGTAGTAATAACAAACAGACTGACGCTCTGTTTCATCGGGAATTCCTTAAATATGATAGATCATTGCAACACATTAACTTGGACTTATATTATAGTAGGTGATATGAGCTTTCCCTTCGACCAGCCTCAGACCGATCCACTGCTAAAAATATGATCTTTGGATTAGTGTCATCTTTAGTCAACCAACCCACTTTTAATTGTGGACATGTTATGGATTGGGTGTTACATTAAGTGCCAGGGCGGTGTTGTCACATCTATTTAAATCACCAATAGCTATCCTCAGACCACTTCTGTGATATTTGCGAGCTTTATGTTAGCATCCTACTCTTTTCCCCCAGTTCAGGGAGGACCGCAGTCTGCATACTATAAAAAGTGATGCCTTTTAAGCATGACCTGAATTTTGAAGTTCCCCCCCCCCCCAACACACACACTCTGCCCTACTTTGAAAACACTAGACAGCAATGCGCGCTGTGCTTGACCAGCACACCCTTGTTATCCGACCTAATGTTAGGCCAGCACAGTCAGCTCCCTGGTATGAGGCTATACGAGTAGACGACACGTTTATGTCATCTTTCGCCGTGAATAGAATTCGGCTGACCCCAATTTTGTTACTGCGTTTTGTTTGTGGCTAGTTGAAAATAGTCACCCTTGACCATGTTTACAAATAAAGACAAATTAAATTTATAGCCTGTATTGTTCAAATTTATTGCAGTATTGAGACTAATCATGAAAGGAATACAATGTGTAGGCCCGTTCTAGAAATGTCCCTGAAACCGGATATCGATTCCTCTAGAGTGATTGACCGATTAGAAAATATTTGTTATCACGATACCAGACGATGATTTTTATATTTATACTTACTTCTATCCCTCGCTCTCTCTCTCTCTCTCTCTCTCTCTCTCTCTCTCTCTGTGTGCGTGTACTTTTTTCAACATTGTAGCTTTTTCAACATCGTCACTGTAAATGCGTCACTGTACTGTAATTTAGTAGCTTTATATTTTTAAATTTATTTTTGAATTTGTAACATATTAAATCAATATTTATAATTATCCCTACTTTGGGTATCGGTTCTTAATTATCGTATATAATTGATGGTATAGTCTTTGTGTTGTGTACTGTTTCTCAACTAACCATATAGACACATACGTGATTGAATTCTCGATATTAATAACAGTGGGTAAAAAATTGAAATCTCTCAAATCACACACCCGGGATATATTGACCATCTAAGCCTTCAAAACTGCACTTAAGACACAGCGCTTTAAACTCTACTATTTCCACTCATTCTCCCCCCCCCCTTCTGACCAATAAACAGTGATCGGGACTGCTGGGTGCCGTCCATTGCTAGAAAGGGGTCAATAGTCCTTGGGTGGGCAAAGTCAATATTTTGACACGGCTCTTTTGAAATAAATCATTTTATGTAAAGGTTTTGTATGTCATATTTCTCTTTTTTCTTTTCTTTTTGCTAATGTTTATGTAAAGCGAGGTGAGCCTAGCCCTAGACTGGAGTTACGCGCTATATAAGACAACTTTAATAACAATAATGGCAAACTTGTTTCTTAAGAGAATTTTCAATGTCTTTAATAATACCAAAACATATTTTTGAAGCTTTTTTTCATAACTTTAAAAGAAAGTAAAAACTTCTATTAATTTACCTTCATTTTCTACTGTTTTCTAAACTGATTATACACTTTTTTTCCCCAGAATAAAATATAATTGACAAAGACAATGAAGCTTTTTATCTTCATTTTGGCATTTGTTGAAAGCGTTGGTAAGTAAATTAAATTTCCCTTTAAGTTAAAAAACCAACAACATTTGTAAACATAATTTATAAAGTTTATTCGATTATTTGCCAAGAGAATTTGTTAAGAACCCGGTTCTACCCGAAGGTTCGATGGCCTCGTTGTCTAGGGGGTTTAATAACTACACAAACCATGATTCTCATATTAAATATCTTTATTAACGAACTAATTCTTCAACTTCCATTACTGAACTCCAAGACCACACTCTACACAATAATAATAATTACGCCATATCCCCTCTCGCACAATACGTCACAAAATATCAAACATTTTATAACAACATCTAACCAAATACTATCTAAACAACACGCAATCTTAATATACATTCAAGTCCTTAACAGCAATTAAACAAGAATATATACACAAATGTAACACATTGTAAAACATGTATTTTCCTTTTCTAATACAATATAAATTATGACACGATTTTACCGACATAATAATGGAAGACATTTTACGTTACCCTCTAATAGCTATGCGAAATGTTGTTTGTGTATATTCTCTTTCTATTAATCAATTTCAATTCCAGCTAGAACCAAACACACAAACCCATTTTCACTTTTGTAACTTATTCTTTTTTTAATATATTAAATCACAAAAGAAAATTAAAAACAGTTTCCCACGAATTAAAAAAAAAATGAATAGGCCTAGAGAAGTTAAATAAAAATATGTTTATTTTGTAACATTATTGGGTTGTTAAAAATCAGTATATACTTTCTAAGGATACGCAACTGAATTATAAATGAGTACTTTTTAAGGGTTCACATTAACTTAAATATATAGCAATATACAATTAATTACTAAATATCACTATTATTTTTTTTTAAAATTCCAAAGCTCATTAAAAAAAAAAAAAGAAAAGAAGCACATTTGTGATACAACTGTGGATATATATAATTGAAGGTATNCGCTCTTTTGATCTTATATATATATATATATATATATATATATATATATATATATGTCCTTATATATGTTATATACATTAAGCGAATAAGTGAATAACAACCAAATTTAGAATCGCTATACCTAGTGACCCAATGAAGGGTCTCGGAAATGTTTACAAAAAGTAAAATTTGAGAATGGACAATACTGTTAAGAAATGTCTTAGAGGTGCAACATTTTGAGAATTTAGAGATTCCTTTTCGTCCACAAATTTATAATAAATGTCGCTGTTAGAGTACGCGCTGTTATTTAGTTGTGTCATTATTTGTAATTATATGTCAGAATGATGGTATTTTTAACATCCTATATATTAACTTCGCTTTTTTTAACTGTGTTTCTTTCTGGCTGAGATGTGGTAAAATCACCCGACGGCTAATGAACCAACTTTCAGTCAACCTATCGAGTTGAAACTTGGCACATAGACTCGTTGCCAATGATAACAATTTTTTTAGCCCTAATCCAAACCAAACCCCCGAAAATCAGTTGTACCTTTTCTTGAAGAGTAAGATGAAGGAAATAGGATGACAAACATTTCACAAAATAAAATTACCGATAACTACGCTGAATGAGATTCTAAAAATCAAAATACCACATTTGCGTTTCGCGTGTAATATTTTTTTAAAAGATGGTTGAAGAAATAAACCTGCGGTGGAGAAACGAGTGGGACATTATAATATGTTATAAAATTTAAAATAATGCATAAAAGTGATTTATTAAAAAAAATATTTAGCGATGTTTAATTTTCTTGTTATAAGTGAACTCATGCACACAGGACCATGTTTTGGCTTGAAAACACTGTGTTATGTAGCATACATTCCCCGTGCTTGAATTTTACTTGACCTAAATTAGAATCCTAGCAGACAGTAACGTCTGTTGCGGGCATGGCCTATTCGTTTGATGTATCTTGTTTATAACTGTGTTTACCAATTAAACATGTTAGACTGTCTTCCTGGTATTTTCTCGATTGTGCTCGATAACCCAAGAAATGTAAACAACACGTCATAAGTCTTTTCTGGAAGGCAGGGCTTACGCGACTTATAAAAGGGATTGACAGGCACGGACGGAGATAACGATAGGTTTTATTAACTACACGAGCCGTGTATTGTTCCTTGTGTTCTTAAATATGTGTTTATTTGGCATTTCATCATCATTCATTGGCACCTTTTTCTAACTGAGTTAACTGTGTACCGGTACAAGATCTACAATACTGTAAGTTGATGATTTGTAATGATATTTATTTTCTTTTGTAATTACATTAATATTTATTAAATCTTATTAATTTTAAATAGAAACTGTTTTGGGTGTTTTATCTTTAATATTGTTGACTTTATGGTATCGTCCTTTGTTAGGCAGTGCTTACAATGAGCGAATTAAAATTAAAATAGGAGAATAATTTCTCATATTAGAAGCCAGTGCATAAAAACTGTTATATAAGAATTATATGAAATAAGAGTCATGAGTTAACACATTTGTGGTGTTGGATTGCAGTAACACTTTTTTGAATAGGCAGTTAATGCTATTTTTTTGTAAAGGATATGTAGGATTCTAGGAGACGTATATTCTGTCCTATATGTCAGTACTTATTTTTGAGACAATTTGAATTGTAGTGCATCCTTAGGAAGAAAGTCAAGAAACCTGAACTTTTAATGCGTCTCACGGTTAATTGTGTTCATACTATACATCAGCCATGATTGTCGATAGATGAAAGAAACTGAGTTCTACTCTATTGTTTTCTGTGGCCATAATGATGGGGACCCAATCCTAGAAAACGTCATATCTGCTTCAAGAAGGCTGTGTTTATGTTATTTTCTTAGATAGTAACATTAGATTTTAGACCATATGTTAACTGTTAAAATCAACCAAATTATTTTTAATAAATGACAGTAAATGTTGGACCTGTATTTTATATCGAAGAAAAATCCTTTTTGACTAACCCTATTTTGAAAGTGACCAACTGAGAGTGTCAGTTTTTCTCCTTAATAACACTAACGTCAATTTTAATGTGGGTTCTTTGATACTGTGTCAGGTTGCTACGATTTAAACAATTATGGTTGTGCATTACCCACTAACTGACTTTTAAAACTTTTGTCAAAACTGCACTTTGGTCATGTTTGTCTCATAAAATGCTAGAAAATAAAAACTTTTATTCCGATTTTTTAATAACTTTTTTACCATTATAATCAACTTCCAAATCTATAAAAACGTAATGAAAATCAGAATTTGTCTAGTTGGTGAGATTCTATTGAAACTTTCGTGGATGGTCAAATTATAGTTATAAGAATGGTGAAAACGCGCGAGCCGCATTTACAATTAAACTTTGCTGTTATGTAGCGGGCTGCAAAATATGGCGTGTGTATACAATGTTTCAAAGACCAATAATTAAAAATTTATATAAAAAAATAACAATCAAAGTTACACCGTTTTTTTCAAAAATTAATATTATAAGCTAAAAAATTTGTTCTGTTTTAGGTCACTTCAAAATATTTCGATAGCCACCATTTTCTTTCACAGACAACAAGGCAAAGTTTACCCAATGGACATCTAGTAGAGGTTTACACAAGGGTTAAGATGAAGCGAAACTCTCTAGTAACTGCCTATCAAACATAACCACTTCGATTACACACACTGGCAGGGATTCTCAGATTAAAGAAGAGAGCCCCGACTGGCACCGGAACTGCCTAAGTCCCTATGGATCTAGTCTTTAATCCCGATAGTTGCATGATGATCACTGTTCGATGTGATATCGTTGTTAACTTTAAAATTTCTAGTGTTGCCGAAAGGGGAGTTTAAAAATCACTGATCATGCTCGAACTCGTAATAAGACCTTGTTAATAAATGTGCCAGATTCTTCGGCTTAGCATAGGTTTTTGTTTCTGCTTGACTCTGAAGCGATTGGTTTCGTTTTTCAAAAAAGTCACACGAGAAAATGTTCATGCATTTTTCTTGATGGGTAATATTGTGATGTTGGAACTCAGGCAAATAGAATGCAACGTGCAACTCATCTTACAGGCCTGAGATCCGTAGGAGGCCCCCAAAGCAACGAATTGATTCGTGTGACTCCTTTGTATACGGTATTTAAAACACTTTGAACACCTTTTAACAAAAAACTTGATTATACATTCTTTTGCTCTGTCAGATAGAGGAACCTGCCAATAACCTGATAGTAGGTCTATCTTGGCTACATATTTGGCATAACCTATTTGATCTATAAGATCGTCTATCCTTGGAATCGGAAAGGAATCATTCTGTGCAAATGCATTCAATTTCCTGAAGTCAGTACAAAACCTGTAACTTTTGTCAGGCTTTGAGACTAAAATACATGGTGAACTCCAGTTACTAGAGCTTAGTTCAATTATATCATTTTCAAGCATGTATTTTATTTCAGACCGGATTATTTCAAGTTTTTCCGGATTGACCCTATAGGGGTTTTGCTTGACCGGAACTGCATTGCCAATGTCAACATCATGTACAGCAATGTTAGTTTTATTAGGCACATCAGGGAAAAGTAAACAAAATCTGCAATAACAGACTTAACAACATCCTTCTCTGACAATGACAAATGTCCTAGTTTCTTATCCAAGTTGGCCAGTATTTCTTAATATTTAAGTTTCTAATTATCAAATTTTTCTGGTACACTATCAAAGGTTTCAGTAACATTTTCTTTAAGTACTGAAGTTACAGTTGAGATTGTGTTAACATTAGGTTCTGAGGATGGACAATGGTCATCACATTTTCTCGCAAAATATTCTTTTAACATATTAATGTGACATAACTGTTTCTTTCTTTTACGATCTGGTGTTAACACAATGTAATTTAAATCATTAAGTTTGGCCTCAACTCCATAAAAGTTTAGTTTTGAATTTTTGGACATAGTCAAGAAGTCCTTCCGTGGGTTTCGATGACATCCACGTGTCTTTTAAAAGTTTAAGGGGACCGCGTACCGTGTGGCCAAACACCAGTTAGAAGGGGCTGAATCCAAGTGATTCTTGAACTGCTTTTCTTGCGGCAATTAGTAGCATGTTGATGCCTTCGTCCCAGTTTTTCTCTTGTTTTAGGCAGTACGTTCTCATCATGTTCTTCAACGTCTGATGTAATCGCTCAAGTACTCCCTGTGACTCAGGATGATATGCACTCGACAAGCAGTGTTCTATGCCCAACTGGTTCATCACTTGTTTAAATAGTCCAGCCTTGAAGTTTGTTTCTTGATCAGATTGTACCGACTTTGGAAGACCAAACAATGTAAAAAACTTCGTTAAGTTTTTGACGATGTTCGGAGTCTTGATATTACGAAGAGGAATTGCTTCTGGGAACCTTGTTGACGCACACATGATTGTCAACAAGTATTGGTGACCTGATTTTGTCTTTGGCAGAGGTCCTACGCAGTCTATAATAACGTGACTGAAAGGTTCTTCGAATGCTGGAAAGGGTTGAAGAGGAGCTGCTGGTATCTTCTGATTTGGTTTCCCTACCACCTGACAAGTATGACATGATCTGCAGTAGTCAACCACATCTTTCTTGATTTTGGGCAAAAAGAAGTGCGACGTGATTTTGTGATATGTCTTCTTTACTCCCAAATGACCTGAAAATGGTGAATCATGGGCTAAGTTCAGGACTTCGTTCCGGAATGGTGTAGGAACTACTATTTGATGAACTATCCTCCATTCGTCGTCAGCATTTGCGTCTGGAGGTCGCCATTTTCTCAAAAGTATGTCATCTTGAAGTTAATAACTAACAGGGAATTGGTCAGCTTCTTCTTGGATCAAAGCGTTCTCTCGAAGTTTGACTATTTCTGGATCACTTTTCTCTACTTCAATAAGTTGCATTTGAGTTAGAGTCTTGTAATTATTAGCCTCTTCGTTTAGACTGGCGAAAAATGTTTTTCCCAGGTCAATTTCAAGTAGAATTTTATTGCTTTTTTGTGAAATCTCTTTTGCGGAGATCTTGGAACTCATGGCCCTTGTCACAGCACATGCTGGATACAATTCTTGATCTTCTTCCTGATTTTGAGTTAAAAAAGGTTCATGAGTAACAATGGGTTCGGCTATTACCTTCCCACCAGCTTCCTGAGACTAGTTCTGATTTCAGATTGATGCTATGTAAAGGTACATTAATGCATCTCAGCTCTACACCTCGTAACAGGATGTTTCTCCCAGTAGCAGTAGATTCAGACAAGGGAAGTATACCCTCAAGTAAGAAGGACTGTGAAGCACCTGTATCTCGTAAGATTTTGATTGGTCATAGACTGGACAAATCACCTGGCAGTGATACGAATCCTTCCGATATGAAAGGCATGAAGTCTTGTATGATATCAGTAGTTTCTGATGTAGAATTTTAGACCTTGGTAGGTAAACTCTTGTTGGAGTCTTGAGAACATTCGTCTAGGGTAGAGGAATTAAAACTCTGTGTAGAGTCGTCAAAACTTGCACACAAGTCCTCAGTAAAGACGCCCTCTGGTGGTGGACCTATTATTGGAGCAAAAGGATCTTGGCGACAAGGTCATAAAACTAGCAGTCAAAGCAGGAACTTGGCTGGAGTCAGTAAAACTAGCCTTTTTGTTCATAATGGAACTCGTTGATGAGTCGTGACAAACCTCTTTGAAGTTTGTATGGGCATCTGGAGAGCAAAAACTCTTGAATTTTGAAAATGTGTTTCCAGATGTATGACGAGACGTACAAGCGGAGACTTTGTGTTGTGTACCAGGATGTGTGGTCTTCTCAGTTTTATTCTTGAGTTTCCAGCAATCATCCATCTTATGTCCTTCTTTCTTTTAGTAGGCACATGTGTCTTTTGTACCAATTTCTTTAGTACCGGGCTTGAATGGTTTTTTGAAGATTTACTGCAAGTGGATAATGTTGCCTTATTGTGTCTGTCTTTTTTGGTGTCAAATGGGTTATTTGAGAATTTTCGTGTGATGGTGAAGTCGTCAGCTAACACTGCTGCCGTATGTGCGTCACCTTCACCATGGTTTGCAATATGTATTCGCACCTCTGTACGAACACAATTCTTGAACTCCTCCATCAGACTGAGGTTCTTGAACTTTTTGAAGTCTGTGTCGGTGTTGGTTGCGTGGAGCCACTTGTCCAGGATTCGTTCCTTTTCACGGAGGAACACAACATGAGTCTAGCCATCACGTTTCCACAGTTCCCTAAACTTTTTACGGTATGCTTCGGGGACACATTCATAAGCCTTCAGTATTAAAGATTTTACAAAGTTATAGTCCCCGCGCACAAAGACACAAAGACTTCGGCTGCCCTTCCTGTGAAAGCTGCTTGAAGTAAGGTGGACCACATAGTTTCCGGAATATTAAAATTTTGTGCAGTTATTTCAAACTGCACAAAATATTGGTCAACCTCCTTGTCAGCAAAGTTTGGGATTACTTTTGCAAATTTAATTGCATCGCAACCCTGATAGGAAGGAGCCGTGAGTCTATTTTCCATTTCTCCCAAATTGGCCGTTATTTCCATTTCTTTTAATTTTATTTATAGCTATTTTTGCACTTCTAGCTACAGCTGTTTAAGCTCTCGTTCTTTATCTAACTCCAGCTGCTTAAGCTCACGTTCTTTTTCTTTCTGGGCATCTAGTTCCATTTGTTTGAGCTTTAGTTGGAGCTCCATACTTGGATCATTCGGTTGTGTGACTAAGGCCAGTTCGTCCTCCGACAACACCTCTTCATCCACTAAGTGGACTATGATCATATCTCGTATGGTCTTTTTTACTGCCGAAAATATTTAGCAATTGAAAATAGCTCCTTTCTAGAACATTTGTCTAATGCCTCTACTGATGGGTTTTCAAATCAAAATCCACTTTGAAACAGGCAAACTATAACACTTAGTTTTATTTTTTAAAAAATTAAGCTAAGTGAACAGACTTATTACAATTGAATATTAAATAAAATTGTAACCAGCTCTGTTGTTGGTATAGTAAAAATGTATCGTGTTCTCAAAATTAGTCTGAGTATATTAAAGTAAACAGTGGGTCTAAATCCACAAACAAACACTCAATGTATTATTAGTGTATTAAAAGTTATGGATTCAGTTATCCTCGAATTTGTTAAAATTGGGGACTAATGAGAATAAAGTATGTATTCGGTTATCCCCGGAAGAGCCCACAATTTGTTACGCACTGACTTGTATAGGGAGAAATTAATCTCCTATTTTAATTTTAATTGGCTCGTTTTAAGCAGTGCCTAACAAACGATGATACCATAGAATCAACAATATTAAAGATACGACACCCAAAGCAGTCTCTAGTTACAAGGAATAATATTTATTATGTCTTAAGATAATTACAAAAGAAAAGAAAATAGAATGACAATCTTCAACTTACAGTATGGTAGATCTTTTACCGGTACACAGTTAATACAGATAGAATAATGTGCCAATGAATAATGATGAAGTGCGAAATAAACACATATACGTATGAGCACAAAAATACACAAAGAATAATACACGCCTCGTAAAATTAATAATTTCTATCTGAATCTCCGTCCCTCCATCCGTGCCTTTCAATCCCTTATATAGGTCGCGTAAGCCCTGCCTTCCAGAAAGATTTATGACGTTTCTAGCAGAATCACAATTATTCTACAAAATACCAGGAAGACAGTCTAACATGTTAAATTGGTAAATACCGTTGTAAAATAGATACTTCAAACGAATAGGCCACGCCCACAACAGACGTTACTTTCTGCTAGGATTCTGATTTAGGTCAAATAAAATTCAAGCATAGGCAATGTATGCTACATAACAAGACACAAAAGCTTATATAACCATGTCTGAACCAACAAATACAGAAACATATCAACAAAAGATTTAAATTTAAATTGAATCATCCAAAAACATCAATCAAATTGAATAAAAAAGAGCAATGGCAACAATGGAAAAAATGGAATTTAAAAACAGTGAAAAGAACAGGATGATATGACACAGAATGCAGAGATCTCATTGAAGAAACAAACTGATGCTGCAAATGCATATATAAAAAGCACGGGTTTTATTTATAGAAAGAAAAAAAAAGAACGACCATTGGAAAAAATAAGAAATAGTAGAGATGTAAAAATTGGCAAAAGAAAGAGACGTTAAGGGAATGTACCTGAAGATGAAACAGACAAAGAACGTCTTTCAAGCAGGATCCCACATGTGTGAAAGTATGGGTGGAGAACTGATCACAGAGAGCAGTAGGGTACTAGAGAGATGGGCACAACTCTTAGAACGCTTACTGAATGGCTAAGGTTGAGGAAAAAATTAGGATTTTGCTCTACAACAAGGAGGACCGGACATATCGTCAACAAACCAACACTGAATGAAATAAAATATGTGATCTTTACCATGAAAAATATTAAAGCTTCAAGAATAGACTTTATCATTTAAGATCTGATAAAACTAAGTGAAAACAAACAGCATAGCAAATTTCTTCTCGAGAAATGTCACGAATATAACATTAATCTCACACTAACTAGGGGTGACAACCCAAAGGCAGACGGCTCAGAAGACTGAGATAAAACGACGATGTAGACAAGGACTTACAACCACTGAGTGTTCAGGAATTCAGGCGGAAAGTAAATGATCAATCAGAATGGAAGGATATGGTGGAGCAGGCCAGTGCCCTACATGGGGTGTAGCGCAACTAATGATTATGATTGACATTATCGATTAAATATGCTGTGCCTCACATTTCCACAATTCTAAACCTTGATTCATAAATTGTTTACGTTTAAATGCGTTCTATTTGTTCCAAAGAAGGCAATCTGGTGACGCAATCTCTAGAACCTATTTTCTGGATGGTTCTTATTTAGCGACTATATATTAATATAGCCAGACAGATTTCCTTGGTAGTAGAGAATTTTGCAAATTTCCTAGATATTAACGAAACGTAATATACTTAGATTCTTTATGAGTGTTTTTAAATTAATGTTTGTATTTTTCAAGGATTGTACCTTTTCACTTTCTAGTCTTTTTTGTTTGTATTGTAGTGGGTCAACACTATATTTAAAAAAACCAAAAAACAAACAACACACCAATATCTTACCTCTGATTACGTCACAAAAGTAAACTTTGGTTTAAAGATTATTCTTTGAGATAAATAAAAAACAATTTCATCATTTTCCCAAAATGAAAATATAGGCTGCGCAAAACTGACAGTAATGATACTCTCTGATATTGAACGTTTTTAATAATTTTGTTAATGGTGTGTATGTCCAGATGGCACGTGAACATACAAAAGAAAACATTATATGATACGCATTTTTGTGGGAAATCGGTTCCTCACCAATGCCAAAAATATCATAGTTTAGCCAAATAATTAGATCTTATGTTAGTAATCGATAAGTGTCACAATGATTGAAAAAAAAAAGATTTAATGGACAATTTCGATGGATAAATTTAAAAAGAAAAGAAAAGAAAACTACACCAAACGGTGCCGGAAAGGTACTCTGTAAACGGAAGTATAAGCGTGATTGACCTGTAAGTATATTCCAATAAAAATCTTGATCCTAGTATACCATTGCCAGATATTTGAATAACACATTCAGTTGGCTCGTGTATAGGGCTTCGCGGTTAAAGAAAATTCACACATTTTCTTCTAACAATCGGTGAACGGACTTATTGCTGATGTTCAGATTGAAGGATGTTCCCCATATACTCTATTGGGGCGAATGTAGCATCTACTGGTGAACAGGGGACAGATACTTAATGCTGAAATCTTCCTGTATATCTCTTTCGTTTACACAATACACTTCCACAACGGCATAAGTTGGTAAAAAATGAGAACATAATTGTAGTACATGGTGCCATCTTTATAAACATTTCTTGAAATTATTCTGACACATTTTTTCAACCGCCCAACCCCATTTTTTTTCCTTCACACTCACTTCAACACTTGCGTACTAGCCAATATAATTTGACGAATTTACAACTACTTCTCAAATAGATCACTTTTCACACGAGAACACGCTGGGGCTGGAGATTTTACCGTTTACAATCGCAAGACGTAATCAAAAATGAGGGATTTTTAGTACTGTTACTTTTGCCAATACTGTACTAGGTTAGAATAAGTCGACATTTCCCGCCTAAATTTAAAGAGGATGTGAAAGTCTAAAAGCGCTAATACATCAATATTTTAATATAAATATTTTAAAAGTTAATTTTTTTTTAGTTTTATCTTTTCGCTTTGACCTATTCCTTACTAATTCTATAATTAATTTAATTATTATTATTCCTATTTTGATTGAGAAGATGACCAGGCAATATTCGACTTGCCACCCAGCACCCTAGAGTAGTAATAATAAATGGATGCACTATAAAAAAATAATTATACATTTTCACACGAATGGTAATTTTTTTTTTTCATGCGCTCTATTTAAGCAACTATGAAGGGCAATAAGATAACAGATGTGAAGTGCATCCTGACTGCAACAACAGTAAAATTGTCTTGTCAAGTGGCTTGCTCTATCTTTCCAGAAATGAAATTCGTGGAGTTTCAATATCAGCGTGAAGAGGATAAAGAATTTATTTTTGTGAGTTTCATCATGACATGAAAATTAATAATAATTATTACTATTAATTTAAGCAGAAAACTATTGTAACTGCTTCATTAGACATATTAAATTTATTAGAAAATGCCAATATAAAATGATTAATCCTCCTTTACAGAAGGTCTCTATGTCTCTCAGATTTTTCTAATCACTCAATTATTTCATTCCAGCTGTGGAATAATCAAAGTTCTTTTAAAGAATGTCTTGAAAGGAACGGTAAAATTGAAGGCGAAAAAATAGAAAACACAAAATATTTATCTGGTGCAAAGATACAAGCGTGTGTAAATGGAGATAATCCATTAGAAATGAAATGCAGCGATGAAAGTACACATTGTACTGACGAAAATGGTAAAGTTTCAGTTTTTTAATACTAAAATTCATAACTTTATGTTTTTTATGTCCCTCTAGAAGCTTTCAAAATTTTGATACCAAGATGCCAAAAAAGTATAGTTTTGTGGTAAGTATCAGTTATTAAAAAATATACTTTTTTTACTATGCGAGGTCTTTTATAGCCTTAATACAGTCTGATTTTACATTTTAGCTAGTTTTTGATACACAGATTTATAACTGTGTATCAAAAAGGAATACACAAATTCAATTTTCCGCTTTTTAACGATTTTTTTTTCACTTCCATTTCCATCTTGTAAGTCTTTGTTCCATCGTATTTTTTTACTAACACACGTAACCCTTTCTTTCGTTAGGTTCATCGGCTGTCTCGTGCTGACCCGAAAGGCCACCCGAGTTGATGGCATAGAGTTACAGCTCCGGTTTGCTAGGCTAAAGGGTAGGGGTGGCTCAGGCGGTGGTTGATGGGGGAAAAAAAAAGATGATTAAATAAAACAACCCACACGTTCGTTTTTAATAACCATCGGTCATAACTGTGGGATTTTAGGATGTGATGGGGGAAATTTTGAGGTCATAGCATTTCCGCACTTAGACTCTGATCAAAGTACTGCAAGTAGTTGTTAAATTATATTTTTTAGCTTGTCACTGGGTCAAGAGGTAAGTCACAACACGCGGGATTTTGTAAGAATCCATTAAAAAATATTCTTTTGTGGATATGTTGTAGCAGGAGTCTCAAACTCAAATCTCCGGGGGCCGCAGGAGGTAGAGTCTAATTGAGATGGATAGTATCAAGTATTCCGCAAAAAGATATTACAAATTCAATAATGTTCATGTTTGACAATATACTTAACCTAAAGTAATGACAAATAACAATTTTAAGAGTTCTCGAGAACTCGGATTCACTTAATTCCTTCTACTCCTTGTTAAGAGACCTGGCAGCGCCTATTCTGACAAACCTGAAATACATATCCACTGAGACCCTCAATATAGCTTGATGCCCAGAAAGTTTATTGTCTCGTTTAACGTCATAGTAAAAAAGAGCTTTTCACACAGATATGTACTCCAAAATAGGCACATGATCCGCTTGAACAGCTTGGAGATGTCAGGGAAGGTGGAAAAAAATTCTCTCATAAATTGTCCACGCTTGTCTGTTTTCCATTCACTAGCAGAACTCAGCCTTGTGTTTAGAACTGCACTGAAGATAAAACAGTTCCATTTGAAGCGTAAAAGTTACCAAAGGAGCATTTTTATTTTGAAAGGAGAAAGGTTCAGCAAAAATTTGAAAAGTTGCTCTGTGTGTTTTGAAATCTACAAACCTATGAGCCTTATCGTAGAAAAGGCATTATTGAATCATCCAATTTTGAAAGTGACTAAGCTGTTAGGTTTGAAATTTCCCTCACTCATTTACACTGGTGATACTTATAGGGCTTCTTTAATACTGTGTCAGATTGCTACGATTAACACAGTTATGGTTGTGCATTAACCAGTAACTGACTTTAAAATTTTTTTGTTGCTATTTGTATATACACTAATGGAAGAATATTTTCTCAAATAAAAACTTTGGCCATGTTTGTCTCATAAATTGATGTAAAATTCAAACTTTTAGTTTGATTTTATAATGGTTTTTACAATTATAGTCAACGTCCAAACCTATAAATACATCATAAAAATCAGAATTATACTAGTTAGTGAGAGTCGACTGAAAGCGTTGCGGAGGGTCACATTATATATTGAGAATGGAGAAAACTAGCGGGCGGCCTAAACACCAAACTCTGCTGTCATGTATTGGGCAACAATATAATCATCTTGGGGGCTGCGAATGGCATGAGGGCCGCGAGTTAAGACCCCTGATTAAAGTATTAAAGTAGTCATACTAAAAAGTAGAACATACAAAATTATAAATTAAAAAAAAGACTTTGTATTAAAGTTTATTAAAGTTTTTTATGTAAAGTAAGACTGCGCGAAAACTATTTTAGAAAATTATTTAAAAGAAATACATTTTAAAGTGTGTATTATATTTAATTGAGGGGAGCAAATATTGAGACTATGTCATGCGATAACAAGTTACGTCAAACACGAGTGGTAACGAGATAGCCTATACTTCAGAGATTTCTGGAGCATTCTATGTAAGGGCAATGTAGTATATGTGTAGCATATTCTAAATATAACTTCATGGTCCAAACAACTGCAAGAGAATGGACACAATTTTTTAATAAATGTTTCTTACACCAACCTATTTACTTGCTCATTGTGTGGTGGACAAAACATATTGAACGCCCGCAACTGCGTTTTAGAGGCGTGAGTAAATGATTACTTAAGGCAGTTGACATCAACTTAAGCAAATAGAGATCACTGCTGATTCACGTTACGACTAGTAAACAATGTTTAAATTTTAGCAAAAATGACAGAGCGGGCAGAAAACCGTAAGCCCATACAAAGTCAAACCACAAGTCCTGTGGATATCTTGTAAACTACTCCTGGATAGATGCTTTAAGCTGGGGTTCCAGCTAGATTAGGTGACTTTTAGAAGCAAAAGCAATCTGAATATTTAATTTAAAAAAACAAAAGATAATTTATCTGATAATAATGTTTGTAGTCTTTAAAATATTATGTTGTTACAATTTCTTCGTGTTTTAATACTTTTCTTCAGCCTTACGTTTCTCCTGTCAACCGCTCTGTTTGATTTATGGTGATGACTATGCATTTTGTTTTGATTTTAATGTTACAAATTATTTCAATATCGAGTACTAGGAAGATTTATAAAATTTAAAATGTCATTTAAAAAAATATTGACTTTAAAGCCCCTTTAATATTTTAATATCCAATTGTTTTAGAGGAATATCCTATGTCTACTTGGTTCTTAAAATAATTGTGGTTACCAAAAAAATTATTTTGTCGTAAATTGTAAATATCATGTGAAGTCTCCCATTTTGAAAGCTCATTTGCCTAGTTTTACAATAAGTTGATAGACTCTGAATTAGGCAAACATTTTATTTTAAAACAGTAAAAAGTTTGGTTTTTACTTTGGTTACAAAGACAATGATATAAAATTTAAAATGAACCTCTTACTTGTACATAAAGTAAAACATGTAATTAAAGAAATGTAAAAATATGTCAAAAGTTAAATCATAACTGAGTAGTCAATAGCTTCTGTTCTTATGGTTTATACTTTCTTCACAGTCGCAAAACAATATTAAATTTAATGACACAGTTGATACTTTATCATATTTAAAATTAAAAAGTATTGTAACGAGTTTGAGTAGAAAATGTGATTTTCTTCATGTTCTCCATTTCTTATATATTGCATAATTATATTTTTAAAACAAATATTAAATTTGATATAATTCTATTTAATATTTATGCAAATCACTTTCTATTTTCAACATGTTACTCGCATGTCTAATGTATTTCTTATTTAGTTTTATTTCTAAATATTTTTATTTTCTATCTAAAAAAAGTTTTGAAGCAAATAATTAACTTGATATATTCTCAGACTCGAATGGTTCTCCTGCACTCAACTTGTGGACTATACTTCTGCCGGTGATAGTGGTTATAATTATTATAGTGGTGGTTTTAATATTCTGGTAAGGATATCTATTTTTTAATAATGAATAGATATCAAATAATATTTAATAATATATGTGTTTGTTTTGGAAAAATTCGTTACAAAAGCATGTTGCAGCTATCCAGTATTGTTACATTGCTTACTTCTTTAAATGAATTAAATTATGTGTTTATAATTAGCATGGGAAAAATCGTGACATTTAAAGGGAATTAATGTTTTAGACATTATTAACAATTTTTTTTTTACCTGGTATTATAGTATTGATATGTTACAAGTGCAACTAAAACCTATATAAAGTTATGCAAGATCTTTGGCCTCTGACAACTAGGTCCAGTTCCTGCACCTACCATACTACTTGCCTTGAAATCAGTAGTAAATATTATCGCTAAGAAGAAAAGGCACCCCCAGTGTTTGTCTTAAAACTTCAACATTTCACAAAAATATGAGCTTTTATGTGTGTTTGACAGCCATATTAGGAGAAAAAGTAGTTACATTTATATGATTCTATACAACGCATTGGGAATCAAAGGTATTAGGCCTTGAACAAAATATTTAGATGGCGCTCTGAAAGATATTTACATTGACATCAAAGTAATATATGTAAACGTCTGTCACATGGTACATTTCTAAGCTGTATCGCAATTGATCAGCAACAACTAAAAACAAAAATAGAAGAAAAAAAAGTAGAATTATGATATTCACAATGAATGGATACAAGATATCAATAGAATTAAACAATTGAAGGTCTTTCTATGGTAAATATATCACATTTATTACATAACACTCTTTCAAGACTGAGCAACAATCTACAAGTTGACAACACTGAGCTATCACTTAGCGGTAAATCCTAAAAGTATGCCAAAATGTACAGACCGATTTCGGATAAAAGAGAAGCTATAAATATATGCATTTTTCCGTAAGATTAATGCCTTCTAGCTTATGGATTAGTCAGCAAAGACCAGAAAAATGTGTGAGCAGGGCTAGATTAACACAAGGTCGAGATGTACTTACAAACATATATTTCTCAGACATGCCATTTATTGAGAAGTGATAAATGTATTTGATGGATTGATTGAATACTTATATAGCGCTAAGTATCCAAGCTATTTTAGCATGCTTACTGCGCTCTCAGTGATGGCATCCTGGGCGTCGCAGGGGTGGTCGGAATGATTCATTGTTTCGATGTATGCCGGCTGTAAGGGATGCCATCTCCGGGTTTGAATTTAGAGTGTCCATCTCTTTTAAATGAGTTGCCGACCAAGGTTAACGAGTCCCATCTACCGGGGTGTTGGTGAGGTTTTTGCTTGACTGGGATTCATCTCTCGACCACCAACTTGAGATTTGCTCAGTTTAGACCACTCGACCGCACGGACGTAAAAAGACTATGAAAGATCATCAACTGACTTTTATTTTCTAAATTCTCTGGAGGGACGACGACATAATTTTTTGATGTCTGTATATTGATAATTAAAAATATAGAAACAACCTTTCAAGTGCTTATTCAGTATTTTAAGGAGCCTTTCATTTAATTGTTGATAAATTGTGGTAAAATATCCTAGGAAATATTTTTGTATACGAGCCATAATAACTTTAAACTATAAAAAATATTTACGTGTAAAAAGACGCCGTAAGAATAACCGTCAAAGTATCTTGTGAAATGTCAGATCGCATACGTAAGCACTGAATGTATATTTATGTGCTACAAGAATGCTATCAAGAACAAATAGGATTAAATAAGAAAAAGTAAAGCTGGCATTTTTTTCCAGGTTGCTAAATTAATTTAAAGTTAAAATAAAAAAGGATGAATGGTTGTGATAATATTTTTGTTTAAAGTTTAGCTCTAGTCAGAAAGCATTAGAAATAATAGATGAAGTGTAAAGTACTTCCGACCTAGAACCAAAAAATTAAGGAATTCGTCTTGTAGCATTTAAGAAGTTACACAAGCGTCTCATGGAAACGAAAAAAATGAGATAAATTCAGGAACTATGAACATTTTAGCTAATTTCTTTTGCATTGTTTTAAAACTGAACAATCATGTGGAGATTGTTTTTTTTCATAAAAGAAAAAAGACTTCTTTGTACTTAAGTAAGTGCTATGTGTTTTTAAGGCAGCAACTGTTTCTGTGAAAAGGACGAACAATGGGCATACACTTCTGATTTTCCACAAAAATGTCTTTTTAATTCTTTATGATTTTAAACATAATAGGTTTATATTTCTTGTTTCCATTTAGCTATGTGAAGAAACAAACTATAAAGAAGTGGTTCAAGGTAATTAAAATTTAAATGCATTTTAAAACTTATGGATTACTGAAAGAAACCTATTCAATAATTTTTTAAAAAATCGTAAATTTCCTTAAAAAGATTACTGATTTAATTGGATGTAAAATGAAATATACGCCCAAAGAACGGTATGTCTTGAATTACACCATTGATTACAACTGATATAATCATTACAGTTGTTTATCAATATAACAATTTTAGATCCAATATTTTGAAAGCATAATTGCCGTAGTGGGTTAAGTAAGTTATTCTAAACCATTGTTCTTACAACGTATTTGATTACATTTGATGACCTAAATCTAGATGATCCAGATGAAAAAGCACAAAAAGCAACTCATAGTGCTTTGAAAAGTACAAAAATTATAGCCAAAAAAAAAATATTTAAAATGTATCTACAATAAGTTGTTGTTGTCTTTATGAAAACTTTTCCATGTCTTGATAAACCTCAAATCTTTTAATTTTCTTAAACTGTTATGAAATGTTATATAGGATGTAATAGATACATTAAAAATAAAATGAAAAAGTAATTGCTGTATAATACATTTGTGATAGTTAATTAATTCAATTATAATATTTCATTGGAGAACTAATTTATTTTTACGCAATTTTTTACAGAAATGGAAAACCACGCTACGTAATTCTTTTGCAAATTTGCGTAAAGGACAGAAGGTACTGCAAATAATTTAACGACATTGTGAATTTAAATTCATTTAATTAAAAAAAAAATAAGGACACTACTAATATCATTGGTAATTTCTATCCAAACTCTTCTTTAATCATTTATTTTAGTGCAGAGGAGGATAGGATCATACGAACATTTCTCTTATTCCAATCATTTCTCTTTCTAGTACCCAAATAACGTCACTTTGGAGATGGCTTCTGTGGGTCATCGAGTTCACACTCATAATAACCCCCCCCCCCGGCACTCCCTCACACGGGCCAACGCCGGGTCTCCCCGACGCCAGACCGCGTGGAACCGCGCCAGGAACCTCCCTCCTGGCCTGAGCGTCGTCCGGTCGACTGAAGACGCTGCGTTTCCAGCGTCTGCGGTCCACTCTCCTATTGGGTCTGGACGGCTTTACTTCCTCTCCGGGGAAGAGGTTTTGCGTTACCTCACTCCACTGCCCAGGGAGCTGTTCGGTCGGGACGTAGCGGGGACAAAACGGTCGCCTTGGGGCGGCTTTCTCAGGGCCGCGTATTTTTAATCACTGGCCCCCACCCATTGCCTCATACCCATTAACGGCAACAAGCAATCATGTTAGTGCGAGCCTTCTGTTGTGTAGGAAGTCATGCAAGTGGGTCGGGATTTTTTAGCCTCGCGAGGTTCTCCCCCCCCCCCCTTACTAGTCATCCACGCCATGTAGAGGCGAAATCCCATGTGGCACACCGGGCAGTGGTTCTGCTCCGTGGTCTAGAGGCGTTAGTACCCACATAGATCATTCGATAAGTAAATTTAATGATCTCTGTGGTTGATTTCAAGTCGTGATGATTAAACGCTCTGTATTATTTTTTAATGAATTTCATGGTAACTATTAATATGTGGTTATTAAATTATGACATGAAACTAAATTTATAGTTATAATAATGTCTTTTTTAGAAATAATGTCTTTCGCCGGGTCAATGTCTATTGTAGGGACAATATTTATTAAAGGAATAATGATAAATATGTTGACAATGCCTATTGTTAAGATAATGTCTATTATAAGGAAACTAACTATTGAAGGGAGGATGTTTGTTACAGGGGTAATTTCAAATTTGGTGGCAATGTTTATCTTAATGATAATGTCTATTGTAGGAATATGTCTATTCACCTAAAATAAAAGTTAATCTGATTTCCGTTTAATAATTTTATATTTTTATTTTAAATATCTAAGAGTATTTTTATACCTAAGATACAAGTAGACCTAGAAATGTTAATATATTTATATTTCCCTTTTTTCTAGCATAATAGCAAAGTAAAACAACTCTATAACGTGAAGGGAATTATTTGCTTTTATAGTTCTTATTAAGTGCAGAGATAAATCTTCAACAAGACATCATCGAAGACTTCAATATCTCAATTTTTAACTGGAATTAGATATTTTGCAGCCATAAAGCTAATATATATATATATATATATTTATATATATATATATATTTGAATGAGCTATAGCGATATAGCGCCAAAGAACCTATACGATTTAAGTAGGTTTGGATTCCAAAAACAAGCAAAGTTATTTTCTATTATTTTACGTAAATCTAATAAATTTAAATGCTTAAAAAATATTTTAAATCCGCGCTTACTTTAGTAAAAATTTAAGATTTATTATTATAAATAACAAATTAATTTAAAATATCAAAAAAGGAAATACTTTAAGTATTTTATCAGAATGTAAAAGTTATGAAAATAATTATTAATCAAAATATTATTATCTAAGAATTATTTCTTAATCCCATTTATGAAAACCGAAACATCTGTTTATCTTAGTGTGTATTTCAGAGCTTTGTTAATATTGCAAAATAAAAATAAAATATATTTGATTTAAATAATTACGCAAATGACGTCATAGTGCGATTGCCTATTTAAGCCACAGATCTACATTTCTTTGATTTTATAATCGTGCGTAACAAAACTGACGATATAATTTTCCCATCTTAAAAGTAAAATTAATAGTTGATGATTTTCTAAATTGCTAAAATTTGCCTAAATTAAATAATTCAATTTGGAGATGGTGTAGGTGGAACATTGAGCGTGAGCTCTTAAAACCCCCTCCAGCACACCCCCACACGGGACGACGCCAGTCCCCCCCCCCCCGCTACACCTCCCACTCGAGCTTAGAGAATGTCCGGTCGACCATACACACTCCATCAGAGCATGGACAGTCCACGCTCCGTGGGTCAGTAACCCCCCCCCACCCCCCCCCCCCACGGGACGCCCCCAGCCCCCCCCCCCCCCGCTACACCTCCCACTCGAGCTTAGAGAATGTCCGGTCGACCATACACACTCCATCAGAGCATGGACAGTCCACGCTCCGTGGGTCAGAACAGCTTTTCTTCCTCTCCGGGAAAGGGGGGGGGAGAGGTGTTGAACTACCCTCCTCCACCACCCAGGGAGTTGTTCGATCCAGAGGTAGCGTTGCGGGGACGAAACGGTCTCCTAGGAGCGACTTTCTCAGGGTCGCGTTTTTAAATCCTCGGCAGGGGTTTTGCTGCCACCCAAGCATCATATCCATTATCGGCTTATGTTAAATACAACATTAGCTTTGCATTTTTCTCATTTAATAAGTTTTTACTTTTTATTTTTAAAAAAAGTACTTTGATGAAAGTTAAAAAGTTGTAAAAAACTTAACCTCTACATATAATTTAAAATGTCGTTTAATGCAATTAGTGCAGCGAACCAACACATGTGAAATGAAAACAAAAAAATATTTTGCGTAAATAAGGGGGTTGCAATATCATGGATATATAAAAAAAAAACCTCTGTTTGTTACGGGGAGGGGGATAGTTTCAACAGCCCAAAGCTGCACAAGATACGCCACAGAATTAATTTGACCGATAATTAACCTTCTAAGGTACATATAAATAGGGGGTAAGAAATAGAGTGTTCATATTTTTACTTTGATGACAATATCTTTAAATCCAATGATATTACAGTTGTCAGGAATAAATGATATAGTCTTATTTTACCCATTAAGACAATTAATGATAAAACGTACTTACATTTACACATTTATACCAATGAATATCAAAATCCATCATTTTACACAAGCAAAAATGTAATTCTAAAAATAGAAATAGGTTAAGACTTTCTTAGATAGAAAGACAGACAGACAGACAGACAGACAGACAGACAGACAGACAGACAGATAGATAGATAGATAGATAGATAGATAGATAGATAGATAGATAGATAGATAGATAGATAGATAGATAGATAGATAGATAGATAGATAGATAGATAGATAGATAGATAGATAGATAGATAGATAGATAGATAGATAGATAGATAGATAAGATGAAAGATGGGTGGATGAATAAATGGATGGATGGTAGACATAACGCTTCCTTGAATAGTTGCGCAAAATATATATTTTATTCAGTAAACTATGTATATACATGTAACGGAATAAACACAATCATTTTGAGAATTAACTAGCGTGGCAATGGTAAATGTCTTTTCGTCTATAAACCAGATGCTTGGTACACTTCTCTGATTATTAAATTCTTCAAGTAGCTGCCGACTGCGTTGCACGCATTTCAATTTACCATTTTCATGGAGCATCTGCCCGATCACACACTTGTACATTTTAAGTTATAAATCTTGCTTTACAATAGGACGAACCGAAGACCGTGGTATAAGAGTCTCTCTTTCTATTTCCCGCGGACTTTTGTTACTGTGTCATCATTTTGACTGCAGATAAGCTCACTCATCATTTAATGTTCTGTTGTGCTCTAACAGTCTTTGGTCGACCACTTCCTGTTTTGCGTTGCGTTGAATCGTCTTTGTCAATTTTATAGATAACCCGACTGACACTTGCTATGCTCCTGGCTTTGTTTGGAATCTCGTTGGTCATTTTCCTAGCACCCCAATGATTTTCCATTCGCGAATTTTTAATCAGAATACGGTCTTCTGCAGTAATTTTTGTCATTCTTGGCGAACAAATTTAAACAAGCAGACGACGTAAACAATTGGCAGATTAAAAATAAAAAATAGCGACCGGAAATAGTCGCAATAATGACGTCATATAGCTAAATATGTAAGTAAGTAAACCAATACACTATTTTAACTAGTATGGGTTTTTTAAACTAAATTTGATGTGATTAAATCACATTTTACGAGATGTTCTCACTTTTATTGGCCCACCCTGTATAAGAAAATTAATGTATGTACTTATGTCCCGTATGCGCTCATACACTAATAATCCAATTGCGATAACTTTTTATGAGTTTTTGTGTAAACGCCAGTACATTTTTCTGAATTATTACACACATTTTAAAACATTCCGTTTTGGACCCAGGCCCTTAATTTTGTTTTCTGTCTTAGTGTCACGAGCTAAATATAATTTCCGTAGGATTTGCTTTACCAATCATCTGATTGCGTTAAAATTTTGTTAGATTGTTGTGCACAAGCCCTGAAATTACGTTTTGCTTATAGGAGCTAAAACATATAATTTCAAACAGAGCTATTGCATTAGTTGATGGAATGGAATAAAATACAAGCGACATTTCAATTGGTGTGACATAATAATTAGGTTCCCAAATAAGTAAAAAAAAATTTACAAATAGCCTTTTGGGGCTTTTTGCATATATTTTCAAACAGAACTGCTGCATGGGTGCAAGCGTTGAAAACCTTCAAATTTATTTGTGTACGCATCAGACGGAAAAATAAATATTTCTATTTAAAAATTACTTAAAAACGTAATTAAAACAAAAACTCTTTTTTCTTTGAGTGGCATTGCAATGGACAGGTAAATGGACAGGTAAATAATGGGAACAAACATATCAGATCCCGCAAGGAAAATAAATTATTAAGTTTGCTATTAGATTTATCTCAAGGTTAACTGAGATTCCCTTATGTTCCATTTGACACCACTAGATGAAAAAACGCAGACTGATTTCATAATCAAAGAAAACGTTCAGCGTATTCTCTCCATAATTTTTATAAGCTTTATCTAAAATTTCTCAGTTCATTTTTTTGTTTGTGGTGATATCGTACATTTTCATTTTCACCAACATTCCGATTTCCATTTGAGCTGAAACAGTATAAAATTGGTATAAAAAGTTAAAAGTAAAAAATGATAAAATACTACAAAAAAACAATGATTAAAAAACAAATGTTCCTGGAGTAAAAAAATCCCCCCAAAATTTGCGAGTTATTATAGCCGTAAGACTAAAAACATGTCGTACATTTATATCATACCATGACATCGTATGACTTTTTATTAGGTTGCTCTGTCCGTTTGTTAGTTTGCTTGTGGTTGAATCTTGCATCTTAATTTTGACCCAGTTACTGAACCAATGAATATTGATTTCCTAGGACTCCCACGATTTTTTAATCACATGACTGTAAAATTAATTAATATTGACTCTGACTTATAACGTAAAAACATGCATTGCTATATTATTGGTAATAGATCTTTTGTATTAGAAAAAAATAAAAATATGTCCAATAACTTAAAAATGCTTTCATATAGGTCAGGTTTATGTTCACATTTTGTTAGACCCTTATCTTCGCGTGATATAATAAACACTGACAAACTTACTTTTTCTTCAACATACATTTGAAATGCTTTGCTAAATATCTTATTGTTTTTAAAAAGTTTAGCTTACTTCAAATCCATAGAAATTCTTACATATACGAACATACTTTTTAAAAAATCGAATGAATCCACATTTTCTTTACATATTTCAGCCTCAAGTGTCAGTTGTTGTTGAAGGGGATCCAACATTAGATCATAATGAAGACGGAGAAACTGCTGGAGAGGTAATATAATCAACTTTATTTTAATTAAATCATGCTTATCTTTCAAAATTTTATTTTAATTGTATATGAAGCTCACATTTCTTTAATGAATTTGAAGAGGCTTTGTATACTATGATTTTATATATATATATATATATATATATATATATATATATATATATATATATATATATATATATATATATATATTAAAAAATATATATATATAAAAATTTATTTTTATTTATAATATATATATTATATGAAGCTCACATTTTTTTATAGAATTTATAGAGGCTTTGTATATTATATTTTTATATATATATATATATATATATATATATATATATATATATATATACAAGTATATATATAAATGTATATTAGAAAATCGTCATATAAGAAGTGTTGCTTACCTTTATAATATATATAAGAATGAGCCTTTTTAATCACATGACTGTAGAATTAATTAATATTGACTCTGACTTATAACGTAAAAACATGCATTGCCATATTATTGGTAATAGATCTTTTCTTTGAGAAAAAAAATAAAACTATGTCCAATAACTTAAAAATGCTTTCAATTGGGTCAGGATTATTTTCACATTTTCACCTTCGCGTGTTATAATAAACACTCAGACTGACAAACTTACTTTTTCTTACACATACATTTGAAATGCTTTGCTAAATATCTTATTATTTTTAAAAAGTTTAGGTTAGCTCAAATGCATAGAAATTCATACAAATATCAACACAATATAAAAAAAAAATCGAATGAATTCACTCAAACATTTTTTTAAAACATTTTTCAGCCTCAATTGCAAGTTATTGTTGAAAGGGATCAAACAAGAGATCGGAACGAAGATATAGAAACTTTTGGAGAGGTAATGATATCAACTTTATTTTAATGAAAACATGCTTATCTTTCAAAATTTTATTTTAATTTTATATGAAACTCACCTTTTCTTAAATGAATTTGCTGAGGCTTTGTAAGCTATGATATATATATATATATATATAAGTATATATATAAATGTATATTAGAAAATCGTCATAGAATAAGTGTTGCTGATTTTTATAATATATATAAGAATGAACTAAAGTGACATAATGCCAAAAGGGAGATATGATTTTGCACGTTAGGATTCCTAAAGACAATCATAGTTATTTTCTATGATTATACGGAAATCGAATAAATTTACATGCGAAAAATATTTTAAATCCGCTTTTAGTTTAGTAAAAGTTTAATTATTATTATTATAAATTACAAACACATTTAAAGTATCAACCAAGGAAATATTTTAAGCATTTTATATGTGTTTAAAAGTTATGAAAAAAAAAATTATGATCAAAGAATTACACCTTAATCACATTTATCGGGAGAACCTCAACACCAGTCATTTTTAGTGCGTCTTTTAGTACGTTGTTAATATTACTAAATAACATTGTAAATTAATTTGTTCTAAATAATCACGCAAATGACGTCATAGCGCGAATAGCTTATTTCTCCAAAACTCTTAGGTTTCTTTAAATTTAATAACCACGAATGAAAAAAAAACTGATACTGTATTTTCCCTCCTTAAAAGTAAAATTAATAAATACAATTTATTGCTTTTAAATTGTTAATAAAACACACACACATACATTTCTGCTGTGTATATTAACATTAAAAGTTCAGCCTTTTTTATTGAAAAATATACATTTATTAAAGTTATAACGTAATAAAAACTAAACTTTAAATATAATTCTAATAAGGAAATGCGGTTTAAGTCAAACAGTACATCGCTAATCCATAACTAAATAGCATTGACTAATCCACTTTTATTTAAATTTAAAAAAAACGAACCATATGAAGTGCACATTCTTTTAGTTTGGGTATGGAAGGGACTACATTAACTACAAAATTCTGTCCCTAGCCTACAGCTGCATAGATGGGCCAGCACGGAATATCTCAAGAAACTAATTTATAAACATGTACCTCTGAAGAGCCTGTGTCTTCAACACAGAACTTACCGAGTGTTTCTAGAGTGGATGAGCACAGAAAAAAGTCTTACGGAGTGCGCTCTTTTGAAGCGATAGCGCAAAAATTATGGAACAGTTTGCCTCAAACGTTGAGGGGAATTGAAAATGATAAAAAATCATTTAAGAAACAATTAAAAACGTTTTTTTCCAATAGATTTCCAAAGACCAGAGAGCAGTGAGCATGCTAAAGTGGCATGGATACCAGTGCGATATACATATCAAATCAAATCAAATTAAATAATCTGGTAGAGAATTTTTCTAAATTTATTTAAATCTGGGTGGGGGAGAGGTTGGGCACTTTGCCTCAGGCAGCACAAGATGTGTCTCAAAATAAAGAAATGATTTTGATATATAATTAGTTTTTTTGGGTAAATACATGTCGGAGTTTGGAAAGGATGTATACATTTTCACGTGGATGACAATATATTGAAATCATTTAATATTTCATCTATTAAAAAAGAGATGTTAGACACTATTTTTACAAATATAAGGATGTTTACCAATTAAGAAGATCACTGGTGTAAACAAATCTTGGGTATAATTATATAATTATACCCGTGCATATAAAAACCAATCATTTTACAAATTTGAAAAATTAATTTTGAAAAATAGAAATGGGTTAATATTTACTTTCCAAACATTAAAATATATTTTTGTTTTTACTTTACAAAAAGTAAAGAGAATTATATTTCATGAGATTAAACATTTAAATTTAAAAAAGACAACAACACTCAAATCTTTTATAGACGTGAAAAATGGTTTCTAGATTCTTCTTTAGATAAAAGAATTCTTTGTTCTATGATTTTCTAATAATATATAATTTAAAAAATGCAAAAAGGTTTGAAAAATGTTGCTGAAGATAATCAATATACCTTGATATCGAATTCCTATAATATAAAATATTTTTATATCATATTTAGAGTTTTTAGTGTTAATTTAAGGCAATTTTTTAAACAATTTTTAGAGAAAAAATGTGTAATTCAAGGGAACGAAAAGGGGTAAATCTTAGGTATTTCTGTAACGTAGTAATTGTCCCTAAATTAACTTCTTAGTGACAAAAGAGATATAATTAGTAATAATTTAGACTGTGTAATTTAAGGTCATGTTTAGAGTGGAAAAAGTAGTTTAGGAGCTTGAAAAAAAGTAGGGTAGGCCTATAATACATAGTAGATGAATACTTCTAAAAACGTAAGGATGTTAGAAACGTAAATATCAATACATATTTAAAGCTAATACTTGGGATGAGTTTTTGCAATAGCAGTTAGAAACTATCTCAAAAGATATACCATTATTATCCTGATAACATTGGGTCATTTATTCTAGTTTTTAACATTTTATCTGTGTGAAGATTTGACTTGTAGAACAAACAAAACGTTTCAAAGGACCGAGAAAAATGTCTTATAAGAAAAAAGATACCAAAGCTAGTAATACTAACTATATTCAATTCTATTATACTATAAAATTTCTATACAAATTCAAATACGAATACAGAAACGAAACATCTTTTTTAAAAGCAAATTAAAATATATTAATTGATAAAATATTAATGTACACATTGAAAATTATATAACGTCTTGTATATGTCAGGAAATATTGCAAAAAGTTTCATTGCTCTCTCTCATCCTCTCACTATCTCTCTCTCTCTGTCTCCCTGTCTCTCTCTCTCTCTCTCTCTCTCTATCTCTCTCTCCCTATTTCTCTCTCTTATAGGAAAAAGGATTAAATCAGAACGATCTTGTAAATATTTTTTTGAAATTGCGTCACAACAAAGAATTCTTTATAAAAAATAGAACGCACTCGAACATAAACAATCTTTTCCCAATTTAGAGTAGGGTTGGTAACGAATGACACAGCTAATTTACTATGTGATGTCAATATCAAGGCAATAATATGGAGACACTAGTGTTGATGGCTAAAAATAATCTTAAACATATGCCATAACATAATTTTGAACATTAAGGCTTTTTTTACACTAAACTATTAAAAATTGATTTAATTGGAAATCGACAGGTAAAAACAACAATATATAACTAGCATTAGCTCTCTTACTTAAGGATTCTTACCTCCTCCCCGTAAACTCTCTAAATAGAATGGTATGAATCTTTGTATCTGGCTGGAATTTGTTTTTATTCCTTGCAAATATATTTGTAAAAAATATTAATAGAAATTATACTTAAAATGGTAAAAAAGAATACAATATTGATAATTTGAACATTCGTAGTAATATAGATTTATATCAATACAATTTGAAAACATCAAATTTTTATCCTTTATAATTTTACACATAAATGTCTTTAGTAATTGCCTCAGAAATTGAAGTATAATTATGATTTTTACAATTTTGTTGTTTTGATTTTTAGATGAGAGATTAAAAATTATTTTGTAGGAAACGAAACTAAGGTGTAATAATTTTAACAAGGGCTTGACAGTGAACTGAAAACATAAAAATGGCTTAGATTATATTCACTAAAATGATATTCTTTATCCCAACAGCTGGGTAATTTTGTCTTGGATAATGTCTTGGATAATGTCTTGGATAATGTCGACAATATAGAACCAGGGGACAGAGCTAAAAGCACAGAACAAGAAAGGAAAGCACTGATTGATAAATAAATTTTAAATGATAATTACAACCAATGGTAACTCAGAATAAAAAACAATATTTATACAAATAGTTTTCCTAACTTTCTTTAGACCAGCCCAGTATTTCCAGAAGGCTTCCAGCACTTGAGGTACTCAGGAAAAAGCGTGCTGCCCGTCTAAAATGTGGTTCATTAATTAGGCAAATAAAATGAAAGAAATGTGGACAATTTAATAGTTTAATAATTGTTAACTGAAATTCGCTCCAAAATAAAGTTCATAATTATTTTTAAAACGTTTAGCACATGTTCTTTAAACGAGTTCACCTTATTCAATGTAAGTCTGGTTCTTTCACTTCTTAAAATTTCAAATTGTGACATTACTTTCCTTTCTATCGTTGATTCATTTAAGATCAATACAATTAAATGTAACTTTATTAAATGTACGTCCCTCACTTGGACCGTAGCACCTATACCTCACAGTCCCAGAAACCAGTCACGTTTATCCCGTTCTCAACAACCTTAAATCTCAATATTTTTTAACATTGGAAAAATACTGAAAACTGAAATCACTGGTAAACTCAATACTGGTTGTGCGAAGGAAGGATAAGGAGTTATTGGTGTTGTGGGATCGTAGATTAGTGTGGGTATGGAGATCGGTAAGAAGGTAGGATGAGTTGAGGTTAGGGGTTGTTGAAAATTTAGATTAGTGAGAGTTTTAGGTTTTGTGAGAATGTAGGGTAGATTAGATTTTAATATCGTGATATGGGATACATTCAGTTTGGGGTTGTCGAGTTGGTAGGAAATGCTGGTCTTGAGGTTGGTGATATGGTAGGAGCTGGTATATATCTTTTGGGGTCAGAGGATAGAGTGGACTTAAGGATCATTGTGAAAGTAGGATAAGGCCGATTTTTGTTCAATGGTATTGTTCGATAAAATATATAGAGATTATATTTAATGAATGCGAAAAGTTAGTATAAGGTGGGCTAAGAGCTGGATTAATGTTAGTATATGTAATCTTTGGTTTTGATGAGACTACGAAAGAGAGGTATTGTTTTTTTTAGATCGTAGTCAAAATTGGTTTGCCTGCCATGAAATATTGGTTAGAAAATGAGAGACATTTTGAAAAAGAAATTGTTTAAACGGAAGGGTCGTTTTTTAGTGAAGCGAAAAGATACCGAAGTGAGAAAAAAGGTGTATTATAAAATGTGCTCAAGAATAAAAATAAAAAAAATATTTTTCTGTAATCTTGTTTGGAGGCATTTACCTTTAGACTAAATAAATTTAAAAGCTTAAAGAGCCGAGCAGTCAGGCAACAAAACTTCGTAATGAAACTGGTCTGCATGTACTTAGTTCAAAGCATTATTTCACATGCACAGAAATATTTGTAAACCAGTTAAGAAAATTATACATATAATGTAAGTATACATTTAGCGTTTAATTTTCTTTAAAATCTCGCTTAGGAAAAGCGATAATAATTAAACTAGCAGTTAGGGGTTATCATACTCTAGGAACTAAGGTTTCTCGTGGTCAGTTTTAAAATTCATATTATATTAAAAGTAAATATCACTATTCCTACTTTAAATTAAAGAATTAGCAACAAAAGTTAGAGAATGAAGATTTAAATAAAAACTTATGAATATTGTTTACCACTGTTTTCATTTTATCTGTGATTATTGCGAAAATGATATTTACTGCGTGATGTTAAGTGGGTTTACAAACAATTGTATTTATATACTTAATGGATGACAGTTCACAAATCATAAACATATGTTATCGAAAAACGATTTTTTCCAAAATTATCTGGACCTACACTGAAGAACATCGTATATTCTTTTAGATTTATTGATATTATTTAATATAATATACATTTAATGAAAAGACGTATGAATCGTTTATTCAATAACCCATATTTATTGATTTTGTGTATTTTTAATATTACTAATTCTATAACGATTTTATACCCAAAACAAATTTAAAATTTTACAATTTCATATTCAGCCAAACTCTACACAAGTGCAATATCTCTTTTATGCACTTATTCGTGGGATTTGCAGCTTTCGCTCATTGCGGAATAAGCAGCTCATCTCTCATTTTTGAATGATAGTGGCTTTGATACCCTTTTCCCAAACTGAAAACGTTTTGCGCATTGATGAAAACTATCTCCATACTTACCACTTTTTTCAATCAAGTTGGGATGTTAAATATCCAGACGAGAATGGACGAAATTCCTTTTAATGACATCAGGCATCCGAGGTAATTGTAAGTTGTTAGCATATTGCTATGATGCGTTTAGTGTAGTTCTGAGCTCGGTGATTCACAACAATAGCTATCAACACTGACGTAAAAACTTTTAGGGACAATATTTAAATGGATACTGCTTGGTTCTAATAAAGTACTTAAATCTAAAGTTTCCCGCATAAAACCTGATAAAACATCAACTTATCTCCTCTGCAGACATTCAAAGGAATGATAAATAAAATTAAACTAATATTTACAATGAAAGTTAAAACGAATAATTTTCCTAAATTACTTTTGCTACTCCATGTTATTTTGTAATCAGGTATGTGTGATTTATCTAGACCCAAGAATATATGAACATTTCAGCTAGTTATAAACGCGTAATAATAAATTTTGAGGAAATGAACGCAACATTTTAGAATAGGTGAACAAATCATGTCTTCCGGACTGCGTCACTTCAGGACTTACCCTTAAACTACCTACCAAAAATACAAGTCTGCATGAACACGTTACATACAAAGAAAAGCTGTGGAGATTATGTTCATTTTGCACCATAGCCAGATCTCCAAATGGCAACTGGATCTGGTTGATGATTATGAGATTAATAGCCCGCTTCAGTCACGTATGTCTTGCCTCCCACCAACTTCACTAAAAAATAATTAAAAAATCCAGCTTTCAAATGAGCGTGACTTCTTTTTTCTCAGAAATCCTCTTTCAAATTCTAAAAGCTTTGCTCATTACGATTCATTTCAAAATCACAGTTTTTACAAAGCCTAGGTTCATGTGAGAATTTGGTAAGTATATGATCATTTGATTAACCATTGCTTCATATTACAAGTATTGCCCATTAGCAACATGCTCAGATTTATTTGGTCCCTGTTTAAAAAAACACAAAACACAGAAATTTTATGTGGGAATTCAACGTCTGATATTAAACACCCCATAAACCGACTAACCAAGAAAGCTAGAAACACAGCACAAATTAAACATCCTTCACTTGAAGAACAATTGGAAGAAAGATGTTTTTGTAAAACTAAACACATTTTGGATGATACATCCCACCCTCTTCATACTAGATACTTAGGGTCGGGCCGTTTGGGACGAATTCTTTCCATCAAGGCGAGGACTGACCGATATAAAAATTCTTTTGTTCCCCAATCTGTACGAATTTACCGGCGTGCTTCCTCTGAAGTCACACATCTGAATGAGAACTAATATGTCCCTGGTTTTGCTAAGAGAACTCACTGAATGGCTGTTTGAAATAATTTATTATAAATGTCTTGTGTTCAAATTGTTTAATTTTTGTGATGAAAATGTATAATGCAATCGAAAAAAAAATTCCATTTATTTGGATCAATAAAAGAATCTTATCTTATCGTATCTTTAGTCCGAGAAGAAGAGCTAACATTATCAGGTACACTTTGGTGTTTCAGTTTTATTTTGAGCGGTAGATCTCATTCAAAATGAGTCAACATCGATCAATGACTATTTGAGTCCTACAACCTCAGCTATAGAAATATATAAGTTTTCGTTACGATTGGAAAAAAACACAGTTTAAAATTGTAATGTTGGAATCTAATCAACATTCTCCAATGATCAGGAATGTAATCTCAAGCCTGAGACAGGTAAAATCAGTATGCTATTTTATATATTAATACTATAAATTTGTTGAAGACATACATAGTGACGAAGCCAGGAGTGGTGGATTTTAGTCTTAGATTTGTTATGGTAAATTCCCTTTTTTGGAGATGGCCTTCTGACGTAATTAATGTCTTTATAGAGTTAATTATTAGTTTGCGGCAAATACGTTTCTAGATTTTTGTTGTGTGTGTGTGCATAATGTTTTGGCAGTTCGTCTTGGACTTTGAGTGAATATTTTGAGATTGTTTCCTCTGGCGAATTGCGTACTTTTGAACTAGCAGTTAGACTTGATTAAATAAATTAAAGTAAACTTTTCTCCTTTTGAGAATCCATTGTTTTCTGTTTTAATGTGGTTTGAAGTCGGAACGTGTGAAATATACATCATAATACTTCAATAAATAAGGCTCTAGACCAACGAGAAAAATGTTTACATTTTCTATCTTAGAAAACAGCAGGAGTAATTTGGTAGAGCATTGTAAATAAATTAAGTTACACTAGGCAAAAAGGGTAATAGAAAAATTGTAAGTTCACAGCAATTGGTTGCAAAAATGATGAGGTGGAAACAAGATTGAACAAATGAAGAAGAAATAAACTTAATATTATGTGGATTTAAGGTAACGTATATGTGTGTCTGTTTGTACTCTAAGTTAACACTAGTAAAAGTGTTGCTGCAGGAAACAAATAAGAGTTTAGAGATGGTTCACTACATATTTTGGGCAATGTTTAGAATATGTTAGGTTCTTTTGTCCCAAATATGCTATCTAGTATCGTTAAGATAAGTCATATGGCAGTGGGTACTTATAACGGCGAAGATAACATAGTGGCTGGTGCTAATGAAACGTCACTTATTTGAAAACTTCCCCTAGGAAAGAAAATAAGCGAAACAATTGATGATACTTTGTTTAGATGATATAATTTTGATACGTTATGAATCATTTTGACAACTCCTGAAACGCCATTGTTGTCATGGCTAGGAGTGCTGTGAGCATCATTCAATAAATGCAAAAATTCGTTCGCTTCTTTCCTTCTACATAGTCGTACAGCAGCATGTCACTCTTTTTTCCTTAGGGAAGGACATGCTTGGTCCCAAAGTGGGATGGTGTAGCACGGAAGAAGCTACAAACAAGGAATTTCCATATATTTTTTTCGCGTTTGAACTCAATGAGAGTCTAGGTTGCGAAAATGCGAGTTGCGAGAGTCTGGATCAGCGAGGAAAATTGCATGGTTTTTAAAGTAAAATTCTGTGGATAAAATATTGTGGGAATTATATGTAAGGATATCCCCTGCATGTTTTAATGGTACCATTTGATTAATCTGATTGTATAATTTTCACCGATTTACCATTACTTTAAAGAAAATAGGCAATGATATTATTATCTTTAAGCAAACAACGAAATCTGATTTTTAAGAAACATCAGTAGTAGATTAGGTTCAAAATGATACGTTTCTTCGCGGAGGTTCCTCAGCCAATGGGTGATAACCCGATAATTACTATGTTCTAAATGGGTTTTAAAATTGCGTCTCTTTGATTTCCGTTGTTGTAAGAGTGTAATTATTAATTTGAATTTTTGCAAAACGATATAATTAGAAAGATTTGTACTGTTGCGCAGGCATATTTTGATTGATTAATTTTAAAGACAACATTAAAGACTACATCAAAGATAACAAAATAGGTATTGTAAAGATTAATTTACATTTTTCACGTGTTGTTGTACGACGGTCTTTAATTATATAATTTTATTATCAGTGGTTCTCAATTTTTTAATTAGTATGCTCATTGTATTTAATTATTTTTGTTGGTTGGACAATGATTTTAAAAAAATAAAAACATTATGTCATTTATTTTAAATGATTCTCGAGGTATGATGGTAATTATTGTGTATTTTCTAATGAGTTGTTTAAATTTTTCTATTGAGTGTTTCTCAATTTTCTTTTGAGTTGTTGTCAATTTTTCTAAAGAGTGGTTCTTAAATTGTTTTGATTGTATATTTTCTTTTATTTTTATTTAGTTTTCGTGCATATTGTAAGTGGTTCACAATTTTACTATTGAGTGGTTGTCAATTTTTATAATTAACATATTCATTGTGTAATTTGATTTTAATTATTTTTGTTCTGTTGGACAATGATTTTTTCTTTTTAATTATATAATTTTAAGTGGTTCTCAAAGTATGGGGGGGGGGCGATTTTCTATTAAGTTGTTTTAATTATTTAAATTTTCTATGGAGTGGTTTTGATTATGTAATTTTTCTATTGAGTGGTTCTCAATTTTCTTTGAAGTGGCTGTAAATTTTTCTAAAAAGTGGTTCTCAAAGTGTTTTGATTGTATATTTTCTTTTATTTCTAATTATTTTTCATGTATATTTTAAGTGGTTCTCAAAGTATGTGGGGGTCGATTTTCTATTGAGTGGTTTTAATTTTTTAATTTTTCAATTGAATGGTTCTCAATTTTCTATTGACTTTTTGTCAATTTTTCTAAAGAGTGGTTCTCAAAGTGTTTTCATTGTATTTTTTTTAATTTTTTAAAATTAGTTTTCTTGTATATTTCAGGTGGGCCTTAAAGTATGTGTGGGCTCTTTATGGTTGCGTTTTAATAGTTTTAAATTAGTATACTTTAATGGGTTATATTTTGTAGTCATGACAGATGTTTTTAATCTTCTTCTTGTCCATGCTGAGGATCGAGTTGGTTCCGAATTAGAGTTATTGTAGTTTTTTGTTTAAATTTCAGTCTAGTGAATTATACTTTGCATCGTTTTAAACATTGGATTA